GATAAAAAGTTATGAATTTCTGTATTTTTAGTTTTTTTTTTTGATAAAAAATAAGTTCTAAAAGTTGAAAAAAAGATTGGTTCCTTGGTTAATTATGGTTCTCTGGACACACGCGTAAATAGTAACACTTACTTATCTTTTGCATGGTTCAACTATTAGATTTTATTGTGTAGCTTTAAAATTTCTCATCAGTTTGCATTTATGTGGGTAATTGTTAGGAAAATGGGTTTAACCATTTTCCAAAATGGGTTTCGCCTAATTTTAAACACAAATTTTGAACCTTATCTAATGTCAAAATGGGCAAACAGTTATATATTTGTGCTCTATTATTTTATACATTTGTTTTGGTACATTAAACATCCAAAACGGACAATGGATTATTGGAAAATTAATCATCAAAGTATGGTGGGTAAAGGGGTTTAAAAGAGTTAAATTTAGTTTTGTAACCGATATCTTAATGGGTATTTCGGTTACAATATAATTTTAGTACCAAAATTAAACACAATTTTGGTTATAACTTTTGTGTTTATTATTGGTTTAATTCGGTAATTAAATCGTCGATTTTGTAATCACCATAAATTATGAATATGGTGATATTGTCAAATTTTCATTTATATAGAGCATTTTTATACACCGGAAAAGAGGGACCGAGAACTCTCTAATCATCTCCATCATATTGTTGGATTTTCTTGCTACAATGAAGGTAAATTTTGGACTTAGCTCGATTCAACGGTCTTGTAGAATCGTTTCGAATGTTGTATCTTAGGAATATAATGTTGCAGAAATTTGTTTGAAACAAAACGTGTTTGCGTATGCCTTAGTCAAAATGTACTCGACATATGGCTTAGATTTAGGTCGTATCGTTTGAATATATTTTTCCGTATTTCGGGTTACATCATTATGGTTTGGTTTACATTAATCGATAATATATTTTCTAACAAGATCAATTCCAAACACAATTTAAGCCAATATTTTGGTCACCACAATTTTAATATCAATCCCAAACAAATTTAACTAATGTTATAGTATATGCCAATAAAAAAAGCTTATAATGATTTCCAACTATCGCAAATTCCGATACAACACACTTACAATAATTTTCAAGCATCATGGAGGAACGGTTGAGGGAAAAATGAGATGACAGTTATGCAACCGCATGAACATTTGACAAGAACGTACTTGAATACGGTACTAGCATGTAGGCATGCAATAACACAATGTTGGGGTTGTAATTTTTATTATTTTGGTCTTATAATTTTTTATTATGAAAATGTAGTTTTTAAGTTTTATTATTGGTTTTATTTTTTTATGAGAATAATATATTTTAATTTTTTATTAAAAAAAAGTTATGTTAGAAGAATGGGAAAATGACTCAAGAGGATAACCAATTGTTGACTTTGTTCACATTTGTTCCCTTTCCTTTTTTGTACATAATATACCATTAAACTTGTTGTTTGTTTTCACATTAACCATTTTGCCCGACTATCACATGTGATATAAAAAAGTTATGGTCAACAAAAACAATAAGTTAGATGATATATTGCATACAACAAAAAAGGAAAGGAGCCTAATATAAACAAAATCAATAGTTGGTTATCCTCCTGAGTCATTTTCCTATTTATTCATTCTTAGTTAGGTATGAAGGACAACGTGACATACTATACAACCAAACCTTTAATCTGGATCAAGTCGCAATTGCTACTGAGGGTATTAAAATGCTCAACAAAACAATATGTTCCACAAAATTTTACATTAATCTTTATTTATACACTTGGATTTTCGTTTGATTTTAATTTTACCATGGATAAATAAATATAAACCATTATCTATATGAAATATTGTAGCTCTTGTCATAATATCAAATTACTTTTGTTGTTAGCGTCGTGTTGGATAATAGTTCAAAGCATGGAGGGTGGAGCTTTTTCTATCCTCTCGTTGGAAGTTGCTTCCTACCTCCATGAGGTAGTTGATTGATTATTATAGGAAACAATTTTTCCTGAATATGTCATATCATATTATATGTTTCTGAAACGTAAATATGTCTTAAAAGGCTACATATTTTGGTTTTGAATCAAATATTCTTATTTCAGTTATTGATTAATTTGTATTTACCAGATGTCGGCTCTGAACCCGATTTTAATGAAGAGCTTAACTTGCATTTAGCTCCCATTGAGTATGCAATACCATCCCCCATTGTTAAGATTAGTATTCTAAGATTTTAAAATTTTTTAGTATGCAGATTAGTTAAGAGCATTTTTTTTTGTCATTTTATCTAATGTTTTACAGGTCAATGATGAATTTGGTTTGCCTCAAGTCCCCCGCACATCTTTACATGGTTAGGGATAACATAAGTCCATAACTTCGATATGACTCAACATGTCTACTCATTGTTCTTTGCATTTCACTACATATCTTGCATAACTTTTAAACTATTGCTTGTATTCTTTTTAGTTGATTTACATTTTGAATTTTTTTACCTATTAGATCCTATGTTAAAACTTATACATGCTTAAAATTTTGGGAAATTGACTCATGAGGGTAACCAATGGTTGATTTTGTTCATATTTGGTCTCTTTTTTTTATACGTAATATACTATCTAACTTGTTGTTTGTGTTCATCATAACCCTTTTTCCTAAGCAGTTATCGCGGTCAAAATTTCAATAGCGGTCACATGCCGCTATTTGAGATTGCGGTTATCGCGGTGGTATAGCGGTGATATAGCGGGTTTTTAATATTACATATAATTTTTAATTCTATATTATATTTATATAGAATTTATATATTTGAGTATTAATATTATAAGTCTATATAGAATTAATATCATCAAACCTAAAAATTCATATAAAAACATAACATAATATTCTATTATAGTAATATGGAAACTAGGTAGTGTCAAAGTGTCAAATAGAGTTTAGTTGTATTGCCCGGGTTCATATCATATTAGTAGGTCATGGTTGATTTAAGGAGTTAAGTCTCAAGTCGTAGCCTCATAGGTGTGGGTCGATTTAGAAAAAACATTAATGAAGTCCGACCATAGTAGCTCAAGTCGTCATGAGTACAGAAAGACATGAGAAAGAGAGTTGTTGGTAGACGTAGTTGCTGTGAATGCTTTTAATTATGTTAGTTGTTTGAGCTTTTTAAAATGAAAGTGTACTGATATCATTAAAACTAGTTTTTTATTGACAAAGTAATCAAATGGCTCAAAATGTGAACGAAAATGGAATAGCGCTCGTAGCGCCGCTATAACGGTTATTGAAATAGCGGTAAATAGCAGTGAATAGCGCCGCTAATAGCGTTACCACGAAATGAAAACGCTAAACTGAAAATAGCGGTTATTGACCTCCGCAAAACGCTATAGCACACAATTGATAGCTTAGCTCTTTTGATTAACTATAACATGTGATAGCCGGTCAAAAGGGTTATGGTGAATACAAACAACAAATTAAATAATATATTGCATATAAAAAAAGACCAAATATAAACAAAATCAATAATGGTTATCTTCCTAAGTCATTTTCCTTATAAGAAATATTAGAAATATGATCATTTTGGATGGTTAAGTTTTGGTTTAGGAATAAAGTGAAAAAAGAGAAAGGAAAAGATGTGGTGCTAACTCATAAAGCAGAAATAGTTATGGACAAAGGTATGAAAAAATGACATCATCCATTATAGTAAACGTCACTTATATAAAACACTTCAAAATAAAATCCGTTCCACATGCGTCAACAACAACAGAGGTGTTGCAATGGAATCAACTGTTTGTGGTGTTTGTAATACGATAGAAGAAACAGGTGACCATATCCTTGCAACGTGCACATTGGCGAGGAACGTATTGCGGATGATTCTTCACTGGTATGGATTACCGGAGACAGACTTTCATTATGTATCGGACATTCGGGCATCATTAATTATGCATCTAGATGGGGCAATTGTCCTAAGAAGAGAAGAAGATTAACTGCAATCTTATATGGGGCCATATGGTGTTTATGGAAAGCCCGAAATGATAGAATTTTTAATAAAATTGCGTTGAGTTTAGAGAGGATAGTGGGGGATGTAAAATCATTGACATATGTGTGGGTTAAACATAGGGGAGCCAATGATAGTATAGATTGGAGAGTATGGAGTTCTTCCCCTTTATTCTGTTGATATATTGTAAATTATCATCTCTACTAGCTACTTTCTAGTGGGGTTATTTTCTATTTAATTAATATATTGTTGGTTCAAAAAAAAACTATATATCCTAATAAATAAGAATGATTTTGCTATATGTCATCTTCTCATTCATTTTGACAATTATGATTTTCTAGATTTTTTTGAATTATTTAATATCCACTTATCATTTTTTTTATTAAAATTACATCTATTAAATGTCATCTCATATTAATTAATTTTATAAATATATTAATTAATGTACATAATAACTTTCTATTTATGAATTCCTCTTTTTATTAATGTATTAATTGATGTATATGTATATTAATGTAGATAGTACATTCCATTTGTAAATTGATACTAAAAGTAGTTTAATTAGTATAGATTAATTAAGAACAAATTACATAAATAGTCCATGCGGTTTTATAAATGTCACAAACTCAGTCGTTACTTATTTTTTTATTAACATGGTCTTTATGGTTACCAAAACCTGCATGAATGATTTTTTTTGCTCACACTGTTACTTTTGGTTCTTTTAATAAACTCGTATAATACACAGGTCTCACACCTAGTAAAGTAATAAGTTGTCAACGAAACCAAAACCCGTAGCATTAAATATAACAATGCCTTTCTTATCAATATATCGAATTGAAACAATGAACCCCACCATCTGGTCGGCACATGCATACCAACATAACATTTTATTTATTATTTTCTTTCGAACTTGCTCCCAAAACAATAACCACTTATATAACATAACAACTCAAAAACGAGTTATTATATAGTAACATAGTAATTATAAAGTAAGATTTGTAACATTTTCAGGATCATAACCCAAAATCATCTTCTAGCAATTAGGGATCGCAACACCACACTTTCTAGCAACTCGTCGAGCATTCTCAGGAGTAACATACTGGCGAAGTGTGGGGTTCCTCAGGTACCCACAAAAGCAAGGTTGTTGTTCCTTCACCTTATTGCAACAATCGCCGGAAGGTGGTTGAGGGGATGTGATTGCTCCGGCACACACCACAAGCTCCATGTAGTTGCAGTTTGCTGCCTCCATGACGGGGACTTGGCTTATAAGTACCACCATGAATGCACAAAGTACAACCACACAACATATCTTTGTCATCTTGGAAGTTTGACTGAATAATGTGAGTAAAGTGTATTGTGGTTTAAGCAAAGGATTGGCTGACAATTTATAGATGGAATGGAGTAGGTCTGTAGGTGTGGAATTTAATGCTTCGGTGACTCATGAGTCATGATTCACAAACGTTTTGTCATGTAGAAAATTTGTACTAGTTTAATGCACATACCGACCAAAGTAAATTATTCAGTCAAGATCGTTAGCTAGTATGGAAATTGTTGGAGAAACAGTCAATTAAATCACTTTTTTATAAAGATGTATTTGACATTTGATGTTGATGATATACAATGAATCTATTAAATAGAGATAGCATCTTGATTCTTGAAATATGAACCGGATAGCATCTTGAAATATGAACCAAGTAACAAAAGTATTTATTTTAGTCTAATAGTCTTAAGATCAAATTACTAAGATATGAAAATTATGTTTATTTGGTAATTTGATTCGTTTTAAGTTTTCAAAATAACCAAACTTGTTAAGTTTTATGAAAATGACCACACAAACTCCGTTTTTTTTAGGGGGCTATCTAATGTTTTATTTTTGTTTTTTTTTTCACAATTTATTTTTACATACTAATTTATATTTCGTTTTTACATGTTTTCCCACAATTTGTATTTACAACTCTTTATTTCACTATCATTTTTTACAACTTTATTTATTTACCTTCTTTCGCATGTCTTTTCACTATCCGTTTTTACAAATTTATATTAAGTTTTGTTTTTACTTCATTTTTTACTTCGTTGTGAAAAAAAAACATGTAAAACAAATAAATTATGACGTAAAAAAGAATTGCGAAAAATATGTAAGAATAAAGTGAAAAATTAATGAAGTTGTGAAAACGTATTGTGAAAAAAAAAACATGTAAGAAAGAAGTAACAAACATGAAGTTGTAAAAATCGAATTGTGAAAAAATATACAACTGACGAAAAAAAAGAAAGAAGTAACAACCATGAAGTTGTAAAAAACGAATTGTGAAAAAATATACAACTGACGAAAAAAAATGAAGCTGTAAAAAATTATGAAAAAACATATAAAAATTAAGTTGTAAAAACAAATATTGTGAAGAAAAATATGTAAAAAGCCGATGTTCTAAAAAGGGAGTATGAAAAACATATAAAAATGTAGTAAAAGATATAGTAAAAAATGAAGTTGTAAAAATCAATTGTGAAAAAACATGTATAACCGACGAAAAAAATGAAGCTGTAAAAAATTATGAAAAACATATAAAAATTAAGTTGTAAAAACTAATATTGTGAAGAAACATATGTAAAAGCCGACGTTCTAAAAACGGATTTATGAAAAACATATAAAAATCTAGTAAAAGATAAAGTAAAAAATGAAAAACGGACTATGAAAAACATATAAAAATATAGTAAAAGATAAAGTAAAAATATTAAGTTGTAAAAATAAATGGAGAAAAAACATATAACAGATCGTATAAAAAAAATCAACGAACCTTAGATAGCCAAAAAAATAACTTTAATGACTTAGAGAGGCAAAACAATATGGAACATACCATCACCCATTATTATGGGAGTGTATTGCAAAAGTATCCGTTAGCGCATGTAGCGGGAAGTTGTAGCTTTTATTTGTTAAATGAGTGTTTGACAAAAGTAGCTGAAAGCTTTTGAAATATATAAAATTACATAAAGAACAATTGATTAAAAATAAATAAATATATAAATATATTTTTAAGGGTAAATATAATTATGGAAATTGATTTTAAAAGCTCAGTAGCGTTTTGTTAAACGCTACATGAAATACTTTTTAGATTTGGAGCGTTTTATTTAAACTAAAAGCTAAACACTCGTACTGTCAAACGAAACTTTTTATTTAAATTAGAGGGTACATATAGAATTAACCATTATTAAATTTCCATATTCTAATAAAAGAATAAGTTTATTCTTTTTTTTGTTTCTTATTTAATGTCATGTCATTTGTCAACCTATTGATTCTCCATTTTAAATTTTAAATTTTAAATTTCTCACTCTAAATACATTAAATTAATAATATTAGAATAAAATATAAAATAAAATTAATACAGATCATAAGGTCAAATATTTATTCAAATCAACGATTATAATTTTGTATAACTAAAAAAATATTTTTTTAAATAATAAATTATTTAAAATAATTGATTAGTAATTTTGAGTTTTTACAATAAAAATTTAATTAATTTTATAATTATAGTTCTCACGTATTATAAACTAAAACTAATTCATAATAGGGGTTTTCTATAAGCACCCCTTTCCTTTTCCAATTCCATCCCTGATTTGACTTTTTGTCTTTTGTTGTTTTTTTTTATTGTTTAACTTATTTATTTATTTATTTATTTATTTATTATTATTATTATTATAAATTTCGCACAAAATTTTAACATTCGGACGACATTATAAATTCGAACGGCTTTATATCAAATCGGTTTTTAATTTTTTTTTATATTTTAATGTTAATATTATTATTGTTATTATTATTTTAAAAATTATTATTATTATTATTATTATTATGTTCGAAAATTATAATAATAATAACAATAATAATATTAATATTAAAATATAAAAAAATATTAAAAAGTCGATGTTATATAGCCGTTCGAATTTATAATGTCATCCGAATGTTAAAATTTTATGCGAAATTTATAATAATAATAATAATAATAATAATAATAATAAAGAGTTAAAAATAACAAAAAAAACAAGATAGTAAAAGCAAAAAACAAAAAAAAAGAAAAAAAATGATGTCAAATCAAATGTCAAAATTTTGATTTGATTGATTTAAGGGGTGTAAATGTGATTAGAGGGTACTTATAACACAACCCTTCATAATAACTAGACAAAATTGCAAAAATAGTTCCTATAGTATGTATTTTTTGGGGGTTTTAGTCCAAGCCACGAGTTTTTTTGGGTTGGTGGTCATTTTGAGCTAGTTTGCTTGCAGTTTTGGTCCCTGTCCAAACTAAAATGACTATTATACCCCTAATGAATTTAGTTTTCATTTTTTCTTTTACTTTTTAAAATTGATATTATTAATAAATATAAAAGTGGGCCCACTTCTCTCTTTTTTTCTCTCTCTCTCGTTTGTTCTTCAACCTCAAGAACACATACATACACATACCCACACAAAAAATGGAAATAAGAAAAGAAAAATGATATCTTCCTCAACTTTGAGTTTATCTGGTGTCCCCCCACAATCAACCTAAGCAAACGAGCTACCGTCCACCACAACCTGATCATCGTAAGCTCAATAAAGGCAGCTCTCAGTTAATCTGATGGTATCGAGCTCGCGTAATCAGACCTGGATTGAAACTAAATCGACCGGTTCAATGACTACTCCTGCAAAACTAGATCGACCAGTTAATTCGAACATTGCTTGTTGGATCGTGGTTGCCCGTTCCTCACTTACTTGTTCTCCGGGGTAAGTTCATTGAATATATTAACTTCCATTGATTGTAGTTCATACTTCATTCATTCATAATCACATTTCATTTTTCAAAAAATAACCCAAAATCTCTTATCACGAATTCAGATTTGATGTTTTACAATTTGGAATCAGATTGAAGACGTAGAACAACATATGTTTACTTAATTGAATATTTGAAGACAAGGATGGATCCAACACATGTGCATAAAACAGATAAAAGAAGGGAAAACTAGTCTTGCACAACATATGTTCGATGAAATGCTCGAAAGAAAAATCTCATCTAAATCATACCATGAAACAGTTACAGAAAAAAGTCAAAATTGAGAACTGTGCGATGAACTTACAGTATGGGTTTTGAAATTTGAGAAATCCATTGGTGGGTAATTTGAAGTGTGATGATAAGGCAAAATTGAGAACTTTCCCTTTAATCGATTTGCAGGTTTGATGAGCGAGATGGAGAAGGGTGCGTGCCTGCGTGGGTTTGATGGGATTCACAGAGAAAACGAGGATTTATCTTCTTCTTTTTTATTTGCAGGTGTGATTATAATGCAACAAATAAGTGGTGGGTTTGGTGGGTTATGGCGGCTGTTCTCACCAGACGAAGGGGAGGTTGGTTAATAGCGATGAAGGATGTGAATGGAAGTGTTGAAGGGTTAGTTGTAATGGTTGACGAAGGAGGTTGAAATGTGACTTCAATCGTCACGTCATCCAAGTTATATTAGATGCTAAATGCTCGACTTTAGTCACTAATCCTAATATACAACCACTCACAAGTATGATCCCAAACTGACGATGCTAAGGTTCACAAATGAGAGAGAGAAACTCATAAATAATAAGATACTCATTAGTCATACAATCTATATGTAATTTTGGTAAATGGTGCTCTTACTTTCTTTTCCCCTTTCATAAAAAATTACATAATTAAATACTAGTAAACCATTGATATGCACACAAGGTGTTTGCATAAATGCTCTAGTGACATTTTGTCTTGTGATTTTTGTTTCTTGTAATTTTGCTTTCTGTGATTTGGTATTGTACATTTGAATGCTCTGTACAAAATATGGTTATAAACTTGATATTGATAGATGATTTTGTCTCTCTACTCTTGACTTGATGTTGTTTTGCGATACAATATGTTGTTATGTTGTAGCTTGTAGGTTAACTATCCACTTGGTTATCTCAAAAGTGCCACAGTCCATTTCAATTTAATTAGATGCACAATACTTAAACTAAGAGTCTAAGATACAAGCGTTCCATAAGATGATTTTTCACCAAAAAATATGGGCTACCCCTTACGAATATTCCTGGTTCCGCCTCTACGTGAAACAGCGTTAAGATGCGATGAACACCACTCCCCTTTCTCGTTAAGGGGGCGTTATGGTGGGTGTTATAACATGTTGACCATTTCCTACAATAATGTTATAACACCATGGGTATTGTGGCATGTGAGGAGATACCTCTTTGGTGCTATAACATGTTACACATACCGATTGTTCTAAACCAATTGCTAGTTGCCAACCTAACACCATCAAATTCTTGGAAAATTTCTTTTAAAACAAGTAAAATTCACTTTTAAGATGATTTTGTTATGTGGTCCATTCACCGTCATTCATAATGACACAAATCGATATTTGTCGATGTTTTCTTTTTAACATCCTATGAAAGCAATCAGAGTTTTCATCCTCCTCCACTGCCTATTTAATTTTCATTTTTTGCACCAAGAGCCCCGTTTTCTCGAAATCATCAAGTTTCTTTAACACTAGAGCTCGATCTTTTTGGATTTGATCCATGACCAACCCTTGATCCATAACATCATCAACATTGTTCAAGTTTTTAAGCAGTTCCTTCTTCATTTTAGGGCGGGTAGCTTGAAAAATCTTAATCCATGCTTTTATATTTTTCTTTTAGAAACCTAAACTTATCTTATAAATTAATCGCAGTATTTAACGAACTGGACACTATGTCAATAATACAATATGATTTATAAAAACCTTCTTGATTCAACTAGGAGTTGATACAATTTAACCAACATCGTGCCATAATCTATGTATGTACTTTTTAACAGAATATGTCTATTAAGAGTCGTGGATGTAATGTTTGGGAAGGCATCCTCAACTACGTCCATCACAAAAAAATTATCAAGCTTTGACATCTTTGTACCAAGGTTATTCATCATTGTAAAAGCAAAATCTCTCAATGGAACATGAGAAACACTTCATCACTTATAAAACCATTAAAATTATTTGTAGTTCTCTTTTATCAGCTTAAATCAATTCAGGCCACTAGCAATGAGCTAGATCAAGACAATTACCTAAGTCTATTAAGAGATATGGGACTTCCAATTTCTGCTAGAAAACAACAAGAATGACTAATCTAACACCAACTAAAAAAAGCTCTTTATGAGTGTTGACATTACTGAAAACTAAATCATTTCAATACTTCCAAAGAACCCACCATGTAGTTTGAATAACCACGTAAATCACCACCTGCTTCTAACTCACCAATCCTAAAGAATCAGGCCCATCAAGCATCTCCAAACACCAAAAGGTCATTGGGACCTACAAGTCTAGCCAAAGAGACAGAGAGGCCTACATATGAGCAACAACCTCACATAGTCCAAACAAATGCTCAAGGTTTTCGAAATCCAAATGACAAACACGACAAAGAACTGACCGAACATTAACCCCTTTCAAAACAAGATTGACAGGAAGCCGAAAGCGATCCGAAGTAAGCCTCCATGCGAAGATCTTAATTTAAAAGAGAATTATTCCAAATCATGTCAATATCCTACTCGAGTAACATAAGTTTCTCCACATAGATTCTAACACTCTTTATAGAAAAGTTGCCATCATCGGCCAAATCCCACCATCGCCCATCTATTTCCAACATCAACCAAACCTCAGCCAACAACCCCTGAAGTTCAAAAAATTGAGAAAGTTTCCACTCCCTCAGTAATCAACCTCCTCCAATCCCAAAGAAAATGACCATCACTGCAACCCTCACTAGCTAAGCAAGACAAGTTTCTCTCCAATTGAAAAAGATTTCGGACCCGAACTTCGATAAGGATATATCCATACCAAGTATCCCTAAAAAATAATTACCATTGATATTTCCCACCCTTCAAGGTAAAGAAGAATACATGATCACCCCTTTACCATGTATAATCTGCCAAGATTTAACAATCTAAAACCACACATCATTACCTCGAAAACTAGCAACATCATCAACATAAGAACAGTTCCCATGCAAAGTTGTAATTACTATAGCCCACAATGAATTTGGCTCCATCAAAATATGCCTTCTCTATTTTTGTAAAAGCACATAGATAAAGCACTTCAAACTACAAACCCATACACTACCTTGATCCTCTTTAGCTATTACAAAATTCCAAGCCAACCAATGTATTCTCTAGACCATTTCCTCAATATCCCAGAAAAAGTAAGCTCTGAGAGATTCAAACATCTTCTTGACTTGGACTGGCATCAAGAAAAAAGACGTAAAATATATTTCCACTGAGCCCAACACTAATAATAGTCCCTACCATCTCATCCACTTGATCAAAAGGAACCCCCACCTCATACAAACTAGAATTGTGAAGGTTCATCTTAAGACCCGAAACCAGATAAAAACACTTAAGCATGATCATCATGTTGTAATATTCAACCTAGAATAGGGATTTAAATCGGTCTGGAACAGAACCTAACCGGACCGGAACTGAAAGAACCAAAAATCAATTAAGGATTGAACGGAGAACCGAGAACCGGACTGGATACCACTAACTGATTCCGGTTCGGTTCTACTTGGAAATATGTTATCTAAGAAGGTGTTTGGAACCGGAACCGTGTTGGTGATTTTAGTGTCACCTGACATTTTTTGTAATTGGGACTGACATGTGAGCTAAAAAGGCTTGTCGTTTGTACTCTATATTTGTAATGTCCCAAATTCTAGAATAATTTTTTAATTTTTAAAATAAATTAAACACACATTTTTAAGAGATTTACATTCAGATCAAACCATTTGTTTATAAACCATTATTCAGAAATCAGAGTTACAAAGAAGACAATGCGGAATCTCGAATCACAAAGTTGTTGATGTGTGTACAGTCTTGCCTTCGCAATCCAATAAGAACCTGCAAAATATTTAATCCAAAACTGTAAGCACAAACTTAGTGAGTTCCCCAAAATACCACACACCACAAAATATAACATCACATAGCTATAACGGGTCTGTAACCCCGGGTCCGTATAAACCCCAGTCCATATTGACTACGAGTCCAGATCGACTCCATCGGGTCCGCATCAACCCCGGTTCCATATCAACCTCGAGTCCGTATTGACTTGGAGTCCAGATCGACTCCATCGGGTCCATATCAACCCACATGCACATAACATACAAGCATATCAGCAAGATTCACGAAGACAACATGCACAAAACGACACCTAGTGTCCTATAGTATAGTTAGAAGACTCACATGAATGAAGTAGGATCCTCCAAAGACTCCATCAGAAATTCGTAGCTTTCTTGGATTAGCCGATTATTATCGACAATTTGTAGAGAATTTCTCTTCAATCGCAACCCCATTGACAAAGCTAACGAGAAAATATGAGAAGTTTAATTAGACAGATGTCCAACAACAAGCATTCCAACGATTAAAGGAAACGTTGTGTTAAGCTCTGATATTAACCTTACCATGAGGTGAAGAAGATTGTGTTGTTTATACTTATGCTTCTCGTTGGCCTTGGATGCATTTTAATGCAGAAAGATCGAGTAGTTGCCTATGCTTCGAGGCAATTAAAACCGGTAGAAAAAATTATACCATGTTTATGATTTAGAACTTGTTGCAATAGTTTTTGCTTTGAAAATTTGGCGACAGTACCTTTACGGATTGAAGTTCCTGATTTGTACCGATCATAAGAGTTTTGAAATATTTATCCGATCAAAAGGAGATGAATATGCGACAACAAAGATGGATGGAGTTACTTAAGGATTATGAATGTGAGATCCACTATCATCCTGGAAAAGCTAATGTGGTGGCCGATGCATTAAGCCGAAAAGAAAAATCGATCCAAATTACCTCCGCACGGATTGGAATTGCTAGTCAGCTACCAGATTTGACTAGAAGAGATCAAAAAGTAGTTGAAAGACCAGCTAATTTGAAACAAGAAGATATGATTAATTATATTAACTAATTAACTGAGAACTCACAAGGCGTAAAGACATTTATGAAGCGTACTTGGATTCAAAAATATGGCAAAGCGCGGAAGTTAATACTTTATGATGCTCATTGTACGTCTTATACAGTACATCCAGGTAGTACAAAAATGTACCGGAATTTGAAGAAGATGTATTGGTGGCCTGGGATGAAAAGAGATGTTGGGAAATATGTCGAAAATTGTCTACCTTGTTTAAAAGTGAAAACAAATCACTAAAAGCCTGGAGGAGTGGTCCATTTGTTACCTATTCCCGTGAGAAAGTGGGGCGAGATGACTACGGATTTTGTTACAAAATTACTACGAACCTCAGGAGGACATGACTCCATTTGGGCTGTGGTCGATCGCTTGACCAAATTCGCTCGATTTATACCCATAAAGGAAAACTTCCACTACAAGAAAAATGCGATTTTGATAGGGAAGGAATCCGTTGCAAAACGATGAAATTCCGTTGCAAAAGAAGAATAGCTATGGAATTTGCAACGGAACAGTTCCGTCCCAAAAAATCCCGCAGCGAAGGTGTTGCAACGGAAAGAATAATTCTGTCGCAAATGTGACAACGGAATGAAATCCGTTGTAGATGGTATTCTGTCGTGTATTCCGTAGTAGGATTCCGTGGTAGTTATTCCATCAACAATTCCATTGTAGTCGATCCATAGAAAAATCCGTGGTGATGAATCCCTAGAAAAATCCATGGTGATGAATCCCTAGCTAAATGCGTGGTGATGATTCCCTAGCTAAATCCATTGTGATTACTCCCTAGCTAAATCCATGGTTTTGGTTCCATAGCAAAATCCATGGTCTATAATCTATAGTATATTCCATAGCAAATTACGTAGACATGCT